CATCCAAAGATAATTCATCGCTGTGTGACGATATTGTTATAAAGTCAAACGTTGTTTCGAGAAATGAAATATTTGATTGATTAATATGTAAATTAGTAAGAATATATTGAAGTGGGTAATGAGAATGTTCAATAATTGATAAACATTTCTCTCGTACATATCTGACAAGATCATCAAATGACCATTGAGGATCAAGTTGAACACGATATGGTAATGTTGAAACAAACATTCCCATTATATTTTGTAGTTTAGTTTTGTATCGATTAGCATTAACACAGGAAATACATAAATCATTTTCACCATGACTTAACTTGAAAAGAAAAGCATATAATATAGTTAGACCCAACTGAAATGGTGTCACATGATGGATAGAAGCATAATCAAGAAATGATTGTGAAATTTCGTTGTCAAAAGCGATCTGAGTGTTACAAGCAGAACTCGATCGATGATTATTAGATAAGCGATGTCGATCAGCTGGTAATGATAATGGAGATTCCAAATTGTATCCTTCTAATTGTAAATACCAAAATTCACGAGATGTTGACATATCAATTAGACGTTCATGTACACTATAATCAATATATTGCAATGATTCATTATCATCTTCTATTGGTATTGCATTAGTATTATAAGCTAAACATAGATCATTGAAAAAGACTGAACGACTTGCTCGATCAAATGCTGCATGATGAAAAGCAATGAGAAGAACATCAGAATTAGTTATGAACTCATCGCTATGATTTTCATTCTCATTTAATGTTATTTGTTGCTTTAGAATTTCAGCATGAAAAACATGACCAGTTGATAAATCGAAGAGCGTAGGATTAATAGTTGTTTGATAAATAATATCTCGAAGTTCATTGTCATCTTCAAATGTTTGATTCATAGTTATTGTGAATGTTTTATGTAGATCTGTAATGCATTGTTTCAAACTACCATCATCATTGTTAAAAATAAGAGATGTGCATAGTACTTTATGTTTATTCAAAACATATCGAAGTGCTTGTAATAATCGATTGAATGATAATGATCCTTGAACAACTTGCAAAGTGGACAGTTCATTATAGATAGCAATATCACTCGAAAAACGAATTTGTTCATCAAGAAATATGCGCTCTTGAGCAAAAGAGGCGCTACCTG